AATGGTGACTCTCACTCTCGTCCTTCACCGGTGTGCGACTGAGACACATTGCCTCTGTTCTGTTGGCAGCTTTAGAATGATGATGCCCCAGACTCACTCAGGCAAACCCAGTGATCTCCCACTTGCTACCCCATGCAGAGTTGGGTGCTCACTTCCATTTTACACATTTTTACCACAGGTACATTCTGTTCTGAGGGTCTTGTTGACAGCTGTGTCATCTTGATTCATAAACAGGGGCCACCAGTGAGCCTTCCATAAAGACCTTTCATGTCACACAAGGCCCTGGACACACGGACACTGTGCCTTTTGTGCAGCGCAAGGTTCTGGGGCCCACGGCATACCAACCTGGGTCAGCTCTTGCTGTCATGTCACTGGGGCCCCAATGCAACACTGAGTTTGGCCTGCTGGCACCAAGCCATCCTGGTCTGCCTGTGTCTGCATACATGTTGGGAAAAGGATACACTTTGAAAAGGCAGCTGGTGACTGCCTGGACACAAGAGACAGCACTGAACTCATGTATGATTTTCACATTAGTCTACCGCACAGATCCATTACAGTTCAAACACTCAGATTACAGCTCAGAGATAAACAGTCTCATGCAGGGGTCCTGTGCTAAGTGACACACAGCTGTGCTACCCTTGACTTCCGAGTTCTGAGCTCGCTCTTTCTTATCCCAATAGGTAACTTTACTGAGAACTACTAAGACCGCAATGGACCACAATCTGGCATTTGTTTTGGGCTCAGTCTAAAGGGGGTGTGGTGAAATCTTAAGCCTGCAAGCTTTCAAACTGTGACATTATTTGGAAATAGGGTCTCGTCAGAGATAGGTAAAGAGAGATCACCAAGGTGACCCCTAAGCAGGAAGAAGGGGAAATTAGGCCATGGGGACACATGTGGGAGGAGGTGGAGTGTGTGAGGTAAAGGCAGACCATTCAAGGCACACACCTATCTAAAAGCCATGGGACATCAGACACTGCTGGCTGTGGGGAAACTGGACATGGCCAGTGCCACCGGGGAGCAGCGCAGCTATGACCACTTCCACAGGCTTGGAGGTCAGGCTTCTCTTATAGGAGAAGGACAGGGGACACGCAGGAGACCCCATGTTCCTATGTGAAAGCCCAGGGTCACATGTCTTCCACAGTTATGGCTCAGCTCTACACCTTCACAGTCCTGCTGGCTGACACAGCCAGGCCATCACAGAGATGACCTCATTGATAGTTCCAGTTCTTTGCGTTGTTTTTATCATGTGACCAAATGCATACCAGAAACAACTGAAAGAAAGGTTGATTTTGGTGCAGTTTTGAAAGCTCAGTCCATCATGGAGGGGAGGGCATGGCTGAACAGAAGGATCTGTAGCCATGAGACACAGAGAGAAAGCCTGCAGAATCAGCACATGGACGACTCCATTGCCATGGCCCACAGCCCCCTTCAGCTCCTGCACAGGCTGAGAAGACCCTCGGCCAGTGCAGACTCCGTCAGCAGAGCTGAATGGGCACACGCAGACCCTCTGCAGCAAAGCACCCATCTCCTCCTTTTAAGTTGTTGATGTCATGTGTTCTGTCACAGTGACAAGGAGGCTAACAAATACACCATCCTTTCAAAGTTAAAGCAGAACAAATACATTTTCAGAGAGATAAAAGATGAAAAGAATTCATCCCCAGGAGACGTTTCTGCCACAGTCCATTTTCTGTCCCTGTAATGTAGTAATCTAATTTTAAAGAAAAGAGTCTTACCTCGGCTCATGTCTAGTCCAAGGTCAGAGGCTGCATCTGGTGACAGTTCCTAGGAGGTGTGGGGCAGCTTGGGAGTACTGCACATGTATCACTTTCCCTTGCTCCCATTTTGTCATATAAAGTCACTGGAATTCAGTCACGGGGTCCAGGCTAGGACTTACATAGCCACCCCTTAAAGCCTGCCAGTCTGACCTTTCCACCTCTCAGCGCCTCACAGTGGGGACTACATTTTAACACAGGAGTGTCTGGGGGGCAAACTTAACCCATTTCCAAGCCACACACTTCACTAGAGAGGGCACCAGATAGAATAAATATGTGGACCTCTACAGTGGATCAGGAAGTATTTCATGTATTTAATCTCTTTCAAGACTATGGACTATAAACAACAAACACAATTATGTACAAGGGGACTGTAGTCCCTGGCATGTTTGAGCTAGCTCTGGTGTGAGGGCTGCCTAGAGGTCCCTCTTCTCATGTCTGCGCTAGTGATACCATGTTTCTATTTAAAACGGGCATGGTGGGAGTGTTTAGCTAGCAAAAACAGCAAGTGTTACAAACCAAGGCTTGGTCCTCGGGAGAGGTGTGGTTAGGCAGTTCCCCACATGATACATTGAGAGTACACACAGAACAGCAGGAGCATAGAGATAGGGTTTGGGAGGGAGGGGGTGAGTACAGAGAAAATACCAAGAGCACAGAGAGAGTGGTCTTAGAACAGTTTCAAGGTTCTCTTTTTACCTTTCATTATTTTAGGGGTATGAGCATTTTCACTGTATGTCTGTACATGTAGCAAATGTGCCCAGGGCTGAGCCTTTTCTCTGCATGTATGTGTTTGTGCTACTGTGCTACATGTGTCTGTTGCCCATAGACTTGCTGGAGTCATAGATGGTTGTGAGGCTTCCTGTGGGTGCTGGGAATCGGACATGGTTCCTCTGCAAGAGCAGCCAGTGCTCTTGACCACTGAGCCATCTCTGCAGCCCCTGTTTTCATGGTTTTGATATAGTCTTTCTATTCCCTTAAATGCAATAACTCAAAACAGCCCGGCAGCAGAAGGAAAATTAAAGATTAAGGGCTGCATAAGCTTATGTGAGGAAATAATTGCCAGGGAAGGCTGTGGGAAACTTGGGGCTCCGAATGGTCATTTTCTCTGTAATTGCTGCTGCTCTGTCTTCAAGAGGAAGGAGGAAGCCACCAGAACCGAGTTGGTACACAGTCTTGGATTTGAGGGGGGAACTGGCATGTGATGTAGACCGCATGCTTATTTTCATACCCGAGTGCAAGCTTAGAGCCATGAGAATAAATATGCTCAAACCGCACACCCAGTGCCATTCCCAGGGGATGACTATGTTTTCTACATGCTCTGCAAACAAACAGGCCTTTCCATGTATAAAGTGATGCCTGCCATGCCCCTAGAGCCCTGCTGAAAACTGACAACGCCCCCATCTCTATACCATGAAGGAAAAGACGTAATGGAGGGTCATGGATTCGAGAAGTACTGGCTGTCAGAACGAATTCGCCTTAGAAAGAGAAGGATCCAGACTGTGGTCTGTGTTGATGACCTGTACGTCCGACACTCAAGAGACAGAAATAGGATTGTGAATCTGAGGCCAGCCTGGGCTGTCTCAAAAAACAAAATCAAATCAAAACAAAACAAAACAAAAAAAACAACCCAAACCCACAAAGAACCAAAAAGTGGGGCCAGCAAGTTGTCTCAGTGGATAAAGGCACTTGCAAACCTGATGACCCACGTCCAATTCCTGGGATCTACATGGTGCAACCAAAACAACTCCTGAAGGTTGTCTTCTGGCCTCCACAGGTGGACCGTGGCATCTGGGTGCACACACAGGAAAGTAATAAAAGGTATTTTCAAAATCCCCAAAGAAGCAACAGCAGTGATCATTACTGACTATGCTGGCTATGATTAATTCAGTCATCCAACACAAAACAGGGAGGATGGGGGAAAGCCAAACCCACACCGTCACACAGGAGACCAGGACTGATGCTTGCACTGGCAACACTAGTCAACAGCCTGGTGCTCAGATTTCTCCCACTCGGGATACGCTCCCGTTAGGTCACAGGCTTTAAACCACACTGGCGAAGAGCCAAGCCAAAGGCAATGTACCCACAAGGAGCATAGCAAATTTAACTCCAGGGAAGCACGACAGAGATTCTTTGTTTGCATCTGTGCAGACCCTAGTCTGCAGACCTTGCTTGCTTGCTTCAGCATCCCCAGCTCTCCAGGTGTGGGGGAGATTGAGTACTTTTTCAGGTGAAGAGGATGCGGTAATCTAAGGCGGGCACACCCAGTCTTTCAACACCACTCATCCTCCGTTATTGTAGCTGCTCATCTCCTGTAGCTGTTGTATTTTCACTCATAGGGAAGTCAGAAAGAAATGCAAAGGGTAGTCCTATCTGCTCCTACACACACATCCCTGCACTTTCCATCCCTCAAAACCACCCCCTCCCCTGAACCCCCTTTCCTTCTTGCTAGGGTGGGGACCCTGTCTGCAGTGGGATGTGATTGCAGTGCTCTTCCGTTTGAATGCATTCACGGTTGTGTCTGTGCCGACAGCTTATGGCAGGGTTACTTAAACCAAACTTTGAGATTAGAACCTTCAAAGAAAACAGGTGGTGAACAGAGAGGGGCAAACAGAATGCAGGACCCAGGATGGCTGGGGCAGATATGTGGCTGAAGGACAGACATTCAAGGTCACTTGGAGGGTGGCCTTGCTTATTACAGATCTGCCTGCCAAGAATTTCTCAAGTCAGATGTTCTCTAGCCTGCCTGTGAGGATGCTAAAGTTACTAGTGTGAGTGGCCCTGGGGGTTTCCAGGGGTCTTCAGGCTACAGCCTAGTGGAGAGCTCTTGTCAACATATGGGCAATACACACGTCTCTGGACCAGGCAAAAAGACCTGAGCACAGATAACCACCAACCACAAGAATCTGTTTCCTCCAGCATTGGAGCTGCGGGAAGAGGTGGAAGCTGTGTGTCCCCCAGTCCTGGACTAAAGTGCTGTCGCTTGAAGCTATGCTCTGGCTCAGCAGCCCCGATTACATCAGAGGACAAAGTGCTTGGGAGATGAGCCAAATGGTACACTTCAGATGTACTGTCTCCCTCTTACTAGCACAGAACCGTGCCTCGTGGTGGGAAAGGGAAACACAGCATGCGGGCTGGGAGCCCAGGAGGTGTCTGAACCATGGAACAGACATTAATGTTTAACCAAGTGGTCATCCGCCGAGTCTGCGGGAGTCGCCAGACGCCTCTCACCTGGTGCTTTCCCATTCTTGCTCATCTTTGTCCTTCTCTTCCTTCCCGTCTCCAGTATGTGGGTGTTTCTGCACAATCCGCATTCCACCAGCCTTCACTGAAATAGAAACAAAGTCGGGTGACCAGGGTGGAGGTGCATCTGCCCGTGGACCTGGTGCGCCTGATGGAAGGCTACACTTACTGGACTCCCGAGAACAGGGACAATCATAAACGAGAGGAGGGTAGTGTGATGTAGAGGAGACTGACGTGATACGGTCCTCAGTGCCCTCTGATAGCTTAGAAAATTCCCAAGGCTCCCAAGTTCCTTTCTGATCACCTCTCAAGTACTAAGAATACCAGTGTGAGCAGAACATAGGCCCGGTGACAAAGCAGCTACTCTAGGGTCTATGTGTCACTTAAACCCTGCCTAGATCTTATTTCTCAAATACCAGTGGTTTGGACATAGCCATGGCTGCCCAGTGAGTTCTGGGAATTTCCCTAGCACTGAGGTCACAGACATGAATCATGCCCAGCTTTTGGGCAGGTGCCAGCAATCTGAATTCAAGTCCTCAGGCTTTCAGAGTAAGCACTGGGCTGATATGGCCATTTCCCAGCTCCAGAGGGACGGCTACTGGGTGAATCTCAGAGCCCAGCCATGGGCTACATACGAGGCCGATCAGAACAATCCTTCCCAAACTGTGCTATGAAGGCTGCGGCTGGCAGGCATCACGTTCTCTTAAAAAGTGGTTTCATGGAAACACACTTCATGTACAACAGAGCTCACTTATGTAGACAGGCTGAGTACATTCAGAGCGGTGGGGCAATTGTCATGACTGCTCTCCCTCACCATGTAGAAATCCCATACCCATGAACAGTCTTCCCTGCCCATCCCTCCTTGGCTCCTGGTGACCATCAGTCATATGTTCCTAATCTGGACATCTAGCATGAAGAAGAAACCATAAGACACAGAATTTGGTCGTTGGCTCTTTTCCTTTGTTTTCAAGATTCACCTGCTGCCCCGTGTATGAGGGCTCATCCCTTCTTAATGCCAAATACTGTCCTCTGCACGGATATAGCACATTTCAATGGGCCCACTCACCAGGTGATAGGCATTTTGTTGTTGGCAGTTTGGTCTGTCATGAGCATTGCAGCTCTGGACAACATGTTTACAATTTTCTGTGCCTGGGTCACACAGAAACTCCCTCCCTACTGAGAAATGACCAGGCATACACCAGGAAGAGGCCTCTACATTCTACACATGTGTGCCCACACTTGTTATTTCTAACTGTAGTCAAGCTAGCCAGTATGAAGTGGGAAGTCCTTGCAAGATGAAGGAAGATGGGTTGGAGGTGGAGGGTCTAGGATGGAAGAAATGAGTGATAGTATTCAGGCATCTGTACTGGCCTGTCCTTGGGATTCTGACAAGATATGCTCACCCTCAGCTGCAGCCACTAGGAGCATCACTTGTTCTATTCACTGCTTCCTTCATAAAGGGCCCTGCCCATCTCCCATCCCTCTCTGTCTCTTCCACACTCTCTCCCCCTCTTTCCTTTCTCCTCTCTCCTGCTGCTCCTGTCTCCAGAGTCCTGTCTTCCCTCCCCGCTTTATGATCCCTTCCCCTAATTTAAAAAAAAAAAAAAAAAAAAAAAAAAAAAAAAACCCTGTGCCTTTCTCTCTCGTGCACATTTCTTAAATTACAATAGACAGAACCCCACTGATTACTGTGAGTGCGTGAGTGTGGAGGCCGGAGATGGGCACTGGGTATTTCTCAATCTTTCCTTCACCTGCTTTTTCTCAGGTGGATTCTGAGGAGCTGTCTCTTCCCCACTTCCATAGCACTGTGATTACAGGCACGAACTAGCTTTTATGTGGGTATCAGGAATCTGAACTCAGATCCTCGGGCTTTCGGAGTAAGCATGGTACCAAGTTGGCTATCTCCCCAGCCTCAGATGGGTCCAAGAGAGTTTTGATGAACCTGCACTGCGCTAATGTGCATCAAGAAGCTTTTTGGTGGGATGGAACATGAAGTTTCCCCAAATGTATCTGACAGCAGATTTTGCTCTCCAATAATCCTGGGTATCATCTTTTAGTAGCATTGTTCCAGGACATGGTTTGCAAGTATGGGCCCTATGATCACTAAGCCTTACACCATGGTGTGGGGTTGAAGTTCTCTGAAGAAGCTGATTTGTCCTAAGACTCTGGAGAATGTCTGATTTAGTCTGAGCTGAGCACTGGGCCAGTGCAGAGATGGAATTCTTCAGGGTGAGAGTTAAAACTACCTTGGTTACAGCCATCAACAGCCATCGACTTCAACGTCTGTCTCTAACCTAATGTTCTCAAGACTTGGATAACTCTCTAGAATGTATTGGTGTTAAGCTTGGTAGACCCATAACCTCTACTGGACCTGAAATTAAGAATGAAGTATCGTCTGAAGCCTGTAAGAAAGATTTCCCACTTGGGGACGGCCCACCTGGCTGACACTCTGGACAAGGCTTCTGCTGACTTGTGACTTCCTTCTGTGGCTACAAAAGTTCAGTACATCTTTCACAGGGGTTGTGACAGTCCCCCAGATCTCCCGAGACACAGGTATGCCAATCTGGCTCAGGACAAACTTTTTCTTTAAAGTAGAATTAGTTTCCGTCGCACACCCTTGCCAGCACATAGCTTCAGAGACAGGGACTTCCTAAGACACAGACCTCTAAGTGAGGACAGAGTAGTGCCCTGGCATGGGAGGTTTCTGTGGCACTTAGAGCCCTGCTCTCCCTCTTGAACATCCATAGCCTTCTGGGGTGGAAGAGGATGTACTCTTCTACCACAGTATTGCCAGTATCCCATGGAACAGAGTAGCCAGCTTATCTCTGGTGTTCCTGGTTTGGATGGACCCTGCTGGGTCACAAGGAATGGGCGAGTTTACATCGTGGATGGACAGGGAGGAGCAGGTGAAGGTCTTCTCAGGCTTGCCCTCCCTGGGAAACATGGCCAGCCTTAGGTTTGGAAAGATAAAGATACTGGTTTCGTGCCCAGCAGGACCCTACAGCTGTTCACAGAAGGCAAAGGAACGGGCTGGTAGGTCAGAGGGCTGTCCTTAAAGGGTATGTATGCCAGTCTGAGCTTGAAACCAAAGCCCTGGTCACAATGCTACTTTGAGGGAAAGAATGGGTGCTGTTTAACAATGCTCCCAGAAATGCAGCTGAGGCTGCTGGAGGGACCCTTCCTTCCCTGTGGTTCGAGCACAAACTTGTTTTTCTTTAGTTGTAGCTGCCTTTTGAGTTACAGCTATCCTACTCAGCAGCTGCCACCCCACCCCCACCCACTGCCAGCAGCAACTAGGCTGCAAGAGCCCAAGCCTGAGGGAATTCTGTTCCCTCAGGCACCAACTCTTTCAAAGCTACTAGGAAACTTACTTCAATCTCTGTCCTGCTAAAGAACTCAAAATTCAAAGGTGGAGATAGAATCCTGCTTCCCAGAGAGGCTGAGTAGCAAGTGGCTCACCTAGCTGACCTCCTTGAGTCTCCCAAGTCCTCCTGCTTTTTCTCGCCCATCATAAACCTTTTCCACCTGGCTTCTCTCTACAACTTCCCGTCAGCTAGTTGCTGATCCAGCCTCTCTATCGCAGGTGAACTTTATTTAATCAAACACATCTTCATACCATTAAACAAATGTTCCAGAGCATAAACAGAAGTGACACATCTTAAAATAATATTCAACAACACAAAAATCTGCCTTCTATCTCAACAACTGACCTTTAATAACTTCATTTCTCTTTAAAGAGCTTGGCTTTGTCTCCAAGTCATCAGGTCGTTGTTGGGGACTTAAGTCCTCCCTTATTTCTAGTCATGTGCTTGTTGCTTGTTTCTGGCACACCCGTCTTACAGTCACCTGTCCTGCTGTTTTGTCATCTGAGGTCTTTGTGCATCTACTCTTGCTGTCTGCTGACCCTGAGCTTGATGACTGTGGACCATGTGCTGTCTTCCCTGGGAGCAGGACACCTCATGATCCTTTCCTGGTGGAGGCAGTAGCTCTGTGGAGAGGCCATAACTTCTATTTCTTCCCTTCAGGCCCTGTCATGCTTCCAGTGGATTTCTTAGCATTCGAAGGGCCACAGCAGACGTCATAGTCTGAATGTGGCATGTCCCACTCAGCTGTGTTTGCAGCCCTTGGCCTCCAGTTGGTGGCTCTGCTTAGCAGGACTGAGGACCTTTGAGATATGATGCCTAGCTGATGGACATAAAGTGTGGTGGGCGGTGGCTTTGAAGATTATCACTCAGCCCTGGCTTCAGTCCTGGGCACTGTTTCTTGATTTGCCATGTCTCCAGTCACCACACCTTCCAATCACCATGAACTCTGCCATGCCTGCCTGGCTTCAAGAGACTGAGATTGTGACCAAATCCCATCTTTCCTCTTTACCTTGCTTCTGGCAAGTATTTTCACATAGACTAACTAGTAAGGCAAGAAATGTACCATATAATGTACATTTCAACTTAACGCACACTAAAAGCATTCCTGTGTTCACAAATTCTCACTTTCATTTCCATCTGGAGCCCAGGCTAATGGAATCGGGCTTCTTGCTGTCTCACTGTGCTGCTGGACAGGCCTCTTCACAGTCTGACCTCTAAGCACCCAGCTTATGTTGGGATCTGGGGGGGGGGGCGGAATCCTACACCCCACCCACTAAGGCCCAAGTCTCATGTCTGTTTCAGATCCTTCTTTGTTCCTGGTCCTTAGGGTTCAAATTGTAGGCACATTTTTAACCTAAGACTCCCAGCCTCACTTGAAATGGAGACTTAGATCAAAATTCTGTGGTGTGTTATGGTTTTCTATCTGAGAACTATGGAAGTTTTTGACGAATGAAGAATCTAGAACTGTCCCGTAAGTGCTTCTCAGAATATACTTCCTTCTTCCTGCCCATGACCACCAGAAGCTGATGGAAAACACTGTTGTGTCACCAAATACATATAGTGAAGTATTAATAGCCATAGCCTTAAGATTGTGATAGTGTATGCCATCAAATGCATATGATCACCAAATGTATATGGTAAAGTATTAACAGCCATAGTCTTAAGATTGTGTTGGTGTTTGCTATCAGGGCCTTTAAAGAGATAAGCTAAAATTGAAGGT